GTACATCTTACTGAAGTGCATTTAATAAAAATATAAAAAAAATTATCTGCAAAAAAAAAATTGACCAAAATTTTTAAGGGTATATTGGTCAATTTTTTCATGTAAAATTTTTTTTTTTTATTTGTCGAAGATTCCCCTACTTTTTATGAATACTCACTTCAAATTTCAAGTCATTCCGATTTGTAGAAAAAAAATAAAAAATGAAACACTACCAGACAATCGTGACCGCGCGATGAACTTTGGACGGTGATGAAAGTAAGCGAAATCACTGTTTATTTTCCCCTATAGGCGTTGCGTAGTGTTTTTCTATATATATATATATGCTGATTTTTTAATTTTAAATTGCTTAATGAATTTAATGCACATACAAAACACATTCTCAACTAATACCAAAATGTAAGCGACCTGACTGATTTAGACGGTGTACACACCAAAATGGTCGACAGCCCTGTAAAAGAGAACAATTCAACAATTATACAAGACTACAACATTACAATTGCAGCAATAAAAGACTTTATATCACCTCCAACATGCAAACAAAATATTCAAAAATTTTACATAAAAAAGCAACATAAAAGGCACCGCTGATCTTCTCTAACCAACATATAATACTTCTACAAGGAGAAACTAGAATGGATGTTTGTAATTGATATTAACCAGATAGATGGGGATTAAACATGTGCCCTACAAAAAGCACAACCCCGGTCATATCTTCTCTTATCAAAAACATGAATGGGTGATCAGCCACAAAGTCGATGGGCCGAGCCATTGCTCTGAGTATTATCACAGCAGCAGAGGCAGCAGCAGCTTCAGTCCCTTCCTCATTGACCTCAATAAAAGACTTGTGAAATACACTAGAAACACTCAAATTGTGGCCCGCAGACGAATCCACCATCTCCGATAATTCAGCTTGGTCAGAGAATGGTAAGACCAGGCCTAACTTCTTCAGAGCCCCAGAAACTTCAAACCCATAAGAAATTTTGAACCTTGGGAGCTTGAATTTACCCACTTGAACTGACTGAATGGGTAAGTGTTGATTTAAAAACTCAGAACCAGAAGAACCCAGCTTCTCAAGTAGTTTATGCAAGCCATCTCTCTCATCAGGGAGAAGGATATACATGGCGAATTGCCTCTTGTCCTCACCTTGCTGATAGGGGAGCCTAAGGACCTTGACTCCTTCATAAGCACTAACAAATTGTTTCTTCTTGCTGGTCATGAAGGGGACTTGAACTGAGGATCCATTGAGTAAATGGAACGTGCCGTCCTGGGTTTTGGATTGGTCAAATTTCTCAGTCCAAGTTCCCTTGAAGTAGAGGGCATTTGAGAGTATGAGCCTTGTTGTGGCATCGACGGATCCTGGAGGGAGAAGCTCTTTGATGAGTCCCTTGGTCTCACTTTCAGCCCATGAATTCACTTCACCTCTTACTTCATTAGCCTATATTATCACATGTTATCAACAATCATCATCATAATAATTACCATCATTTCCATCATCATCATTATACAATGAAAGTAGAACAAACAAAAACTAACATAAGAAAAGGTTCCATCAACAGGATCAAATATCATTATTATCACAATTGGTAAAAGATAAAACATGAAATGAAATTCATGATTGGCAAAAGATTTGGGTTATGGGTTATGGGTTAGGCCTGCATGTGTGCACGCATGCGTGTGTCACACACACACAGAGGCTCAAATTCACCACCAAGATGGTAAATGGAGAAGGACTGCGATCAAAGTATCACGGCAAGTTGGCAAATGTAGAGGATAGCAGAGAAGGACTGCGACCAAAGTAACATAAAATTCAACTTGCTCTGGTTATTCCCAAATCCCAAGAAAGATGGGAAGGGACAACGAAGGGAGACCCAAATTTAACACCATCCAAAAAAAACAGGATTACATAGTTGAAAGGAATGTGTTTCCAGATTTCTAAAGACCTTCGGGTGAGAGAGAGAGAGAGAGAGAGAGAGAGAGAGAGAGAGAGAGAGAGAGAGAGTAGTATACAGACATAACTAGTAGTAATAAGAATAAACGTTAAACTAACTACTAGTACTACACTAACAACTAACTAACGTAACAACTA